ACCAGATCTTGGTACATGACTTTGACAATAAATTTCTTTATCATTTAAATCAATTGAATTTGTAAAATAAGTTTTAAAATCTAATTGACGATCACATTTTAAACATTTAAAACATAATTTATGATAAAGAGAATCTTTAACAGGACCAATACGTTCTGTGACATAGACAAGTTGTTGACAACGACGACATCGATCACGAGTTGATGTTAATAAAGATGATGATCCTGTTGTTGTTGTTGCTGGTAGTGATGTTGTTTCTCCAGCTAGATTAAATGATGCAGGAGATGTATTATTACTACTACTATTATTAATATTCGATAAATCTCCACTTGTAATTGTCGTCATGATCTTTAAAAATAAAAAAATAAACGTCAGAAAGTCAAAAGTCGTCAAAAGAATGGTATGTGAAGCATACGTTTATATACACTAGACAATTCGTTGTGTTTTTTTCTCTCCCTCTTACTCGCCAAATATAAAGCGCTATATACTCTTATTTACATTGTCTCTTTGTGGCAGATTAGCCTCTCTTTTGCGCTTTCTTTTTCCTTCTTTTTTTTTTTTTATACATATGAGCCTCGTACAATCTCGGTCGGTGTGTCTCTTTTCTTCTCTTCCCCTTCTCTCTGATTGTGAACCGACAGACCAACACAATAACAACAACAAAAACACCGCATTTTCGTCTATCTATTCAACAAGTAGGCATACAGTCTCTTCTTTTTTCTTACTCACAACGATGTTAATCGGGTTGGTATTGACACTAGAATAAGAAAAAAAAAAAAAAAAGAAGTAAAAAAAAATCGAAAGCGATGTCGTATAATAACAAAAAATATTCTAATGCTCTTATCAATTGTCCATAGTATGAAGGTTAACTTCGTCGAATTACTATTTATATGTATAAAAAAAAAAACGAAGCAAAGCAAAACACTACAATGAACAAAATGAATGACGCAATAAAACCAGGGTCAAATTTTTTCTTTGCAAAAAAAGAAAAAGAGGAAGAAGAAAGAAATGAGGATTAGAAATCCGAGAGATGTTACACTTTTATTTCTCTTTTATTTCTATCTAGGTATATATGTATATGTTTTTTTTTATTTCTATGAAATAATAAAAATCAATAAATGAATAAATTTGTCTCTTTTCTCGTACGAATGCATAATATGAATACAGAATAACCCGTCAGTTTGTGTCACTTAAAAATGTTTATATGTGATGGACGAACATCTCAAATATGTGTGCACGACAATACACATTGATTTTTTTTTTTCTTCTGATGTATGCACATATGTCTTTTTTTATTAAGGAAAAAAGAAAAACGACGACAACGAAAAAAAAAAAAAAAAACAAAAAAACAACAAATTCAAATAGAAGAGGGGATTGGAATTGTATTTAAAACAAAATAATTTCATAAGAGATTTGCCAGAATTTTGAAGTCCCTTTTTTTCTCTTTCTTTCATCTTTGTATAACATTACATTTAGATGATATGTTTAAAAAAATATTTACTTAATTTTTCTTTTTTATTCGATCAATATTTTATACAAAAAAAATAACATATAATGATAATCTAATCATTTTTTTTTCTTTCATTAAAATTTTGTTTTATTTTACAATTGATTTATTTTTTTTCTTCAATAGAGAAATTTAATCATATAAGATTCTTTTTTCAACTAATTCGAATATAAAAAATAAACAGCAAAATCAAAATTTTTGTCTTTCGTTCTGTCCTTCATACAGTTTCTTCACCTTTTGTCACGTCAGCACATCTACTAAGTATACAAAATCAAATAGGAATCAATATGCTGCTTCGTAAAGTGACAAAGCAAAGGTACAATATAATTCTTCTGTTGAAAGAAATGTACAGAACAGCAATAAGAAAAAAAAAATATAAATCTGACTATTTCCGTATGAATTAGCAAGTTTGGGATTGTGCCAATTCGGGTGTTTTTTTTTTCTTAGTTGGATCAATGCCAGAAGAAAATCTATACTGAAACTAAAACTAATAAAAAAGTTTTACTTAAAGTAGAAGTCATAAAAGTTTATATATTAGGCTTAGAAAAACACAAATGAAATATTCTTATCGATTAGAACAGAATTCTTTTTTTGTATAATAAAATACAAAGAAAAAATGGTTATAAAACTTTTTTCTCTTCGACTATAGACGATACGAAAGTCTTTACTTTCGATAGTTGAATTATATAAAATAGTTGATTACGAAGAGAACATAATTCAATGAATTCTTCGTTAGATAAAATGATGAGAATTTATTTCAAACGAAGATAATATGAAGGTTCGTAGTATGTAGAAAACAACTTTTATCTCAAACAATAAGAAGCTAAAACAGATACAATATTATTTACAAAATATGAAAAACCTATTCGACCGAAACGACTTTTCTTTCGATTTGTATATGCAAAATATATTTATTTTTTCGTTATAAAAATTGCTACTCTCGATAATAAAACTAATTCCATTAATAAAATCACTTTAAATTAAAAAACAACACAAGTTTACATACCAAAAACTAATATGATGAAAAAATTTACATTGATTTCTAAGAAGGATAATCAATAAATGTCAAGCAATGTATTACAACGGTCGTGTGTGAAATGATTTTTTAAGTCCATTCCATATTATACCGATTTTATAGGCATGTCACAGATGTGTCAACAGCTGTCACTGATAGTCAATAGTCTTCAGAAGATAATTTTGAATTATTTTCTTTAGTTACAGTGGATTAAATTTTAAGGAAAAAGAAAAGAAGTAATCCAAGGATGTTTCTATTTGATTGTAACGCTTTTGAATAATGAACTGTTGAAATGATCAAAGCTTCTTTTTTTTGTTTTGGTTTTCATCTAATGATATACAAAGCTATTGCAAAGGATTTGAATAATGTTGAAATATTCAATATCTAGAAATTATACTTGCACGAATCAAATTCTTCAATTGTTGGATTTTGTTCATTGTTATAAATCACTGTCGCTCAAAGAAATATTTCATACTCTTTTTATTCAACGAAGTCATTTTTGAATTATTGAAGCAACCTATACGATTTATAGATGAACTATTACATATTGAGAATAACACGTTTATTGCAGAGTTCTATTAAGAATATAGACTTCTTTGTAAAATATCGACTTGTATATCCAAAAAGTGAGATGGAACATATTCATTTTTAGATCAAACTATGTTCAGTTCAAATTACATTCCATGTGTTGGGGTACAACGGATACGTTGTTTAGTTTAATAGATAAGAATGCCATATTTTTGCGAAAGTGTTTTATAACATTGAATTGTTAATTGGACCGCAAATAGTAAGACGTAATCTTGCATTCAAAAGTATTCTGAACATGTTAGTCATTCTTACATCCAATCTAGGAAAATTTTGTTTTCTGTTATAAGTTCTACTAATGATATACTGTGCTCATAATGGTTGAATCTCTCATCCTTGTTACCGTGAAACACTTCTACTGCTATGACTCATTCGAACTATGCATTCTTATCTCAAAATAAAATAGATTAATGCATATATATATATATATATGGTCCGATTTTGTCGCAAGACTGAATGAAACTGGCTATATATTTTTACAATTATAGAATGTACTGTAATCTTCAAAATGAGTCTTTATTTTAAATTTCATTTCTTTTCCTTGATATAATAATTGTACCAGCATTAACAGGCTGACAACGATAAACAATATAGATCATTGTTGTTAAAAAATATTTCGACGCTCTATATTTTGACGAATATGCCCACATTTATATTAAAAATAATAAAAATAAATACAAGCATAGAAAACAAGACATCCTTATTTCATTAAGTTCCATGAAGAGATTTCGATTGTGTTCATTTGTTTACTGTGAATAGCGTTTTTATGGTTATCTTTTCTATTGCTTATTCTGCATTTTTATTGATTTGTTGATATAAATACAATTATTGAGATGCAAGTGACAGAAATCAAATTTAAGTTTATTATCTTAGAATAAAGATTAGCATGTCGATTTCTAGATATATAATATTTTTTGTGCTTTATAATAATAAATGAATAATATCTTAAGAAGAAAAATTTCCTCTTCGATGAAAATTCTATTTTAAATTGAAGAAAAAAAGTTAAGTTTTGACTTACGAGGGAACATTCCCAACTGTCACATCGCTTTTGAGTCGAGTGTATGCGCATCATGTAGAATCTAATGATCTGTAAATACTTTAAAAAAAGTTCGTGCCGCTAGCTTATTACTGCCGAGATATTGTATTTTTACTGTATGTGTAAGCAAAAAGCCGTAGTTCCCCTTAGGAACGCGAGGAAAACTGAGTTTCGACTTTCAACTTGAAACTTTGTACAGGGACAGGTTTCAATGAGAATAGTTTATTGTAAAATTTTCAGATCTATTGATTGCTCCTAGTCTGAAATAAGAACATCGGAATCTGCTGGTGTGTATGAGCTATTTTACTATAGCTGTATCTTAGGATAGGAACAACGAAAAGATCTGAAACTTTCACAATAAACTATTCTCACTGAGGCCTATCTCTATGCAAAGTTTCAAGTCGAAATTCGAAACTTAGTTTTTCTAATGTTCCTGAGGGGAACCACGGCTTTTTTGCTTAAACATACAGTAAAAATGCAACATCTCGGCAGTAGTAAGCTAGCAGCACGAACTTTTTTCAGAGTATTCATAGATCCTTAGGGCCTACAGGATGTGCATACACTCGACTCAAAAGTGATGTGGTAGTTAGGAATGTTCCATCGTTAATCTAAGCATGATGCTGCACGTTATAATATATTCGATGTATGATAAACATAACAACATTCGAAAGTGACCACACGAATTCTATCCGTTATAAATGAGAAAAAAAAAACAAAAAAAAGTATCAACCGTTGATGATTGTTTGATATGACTATATTGATATTATTCTCATAGACGGCAATGAGAAGATCAAGATATATATATAGACAGAAAGGGAGAGGAAGTGATTGAAGTAAATAGATAATAATTATAAGACATGAACACATCAAATAACAATGATATTAATATACTCGATTTACCTGATGAAATGTTACTTATTATTCTCAGCAAATTGGATATGGTTGATGTATTCTATTCACTGGTGAATCTAAATAAACGTTTTAATCAATTAGTATTTGATCCTCTCTATATTCATCATTTGGATTTAACAGTCAAAACATCGTTTGTTCATAATTCTCCGGTAGATAATCAAATTTTCGATCAAATTTGCACAAAAATTTTACCTCGACTTCATTGTAAAGTGAATAAAATCACGGTTACATCACTCTCTATGGAATTTATTTTTAATACAATTGATTATCCTCAACTTCACTTGCTATCACTTGTCAATTTTCAACAAGAAACACTTTTACAATATTTAACAAGTATATTCTCTAATTTCTTTTTTGATTTAATGAATAAAACATCTATATTATCAAATATCAAATGATAATCATTTTCTTTTTGTCTATATTTAAGATGATGTAATATTTTGTCGTATTCTTTTAATGATCAAATAACTCATCTTAAAGTCAAAATCAAAGGTGGCATAATAGTGAAATTATCAAATGGAAATGAATGAAATTTATTTACATTAATATTATTTTTCTGTAAACATCTAACGGATTTTACCATTCATCAATTGTTTGATGGCAGAAGTGTAACCGACTCTACTTTTAATTTAGCATCGATGTGTCCTATATTTTTAACTCTAACTAAAATGAAAATTAATGTCAACACTTTTAATGACTGTTTATATATTCTTAATGGACATTTCGAATGTTTGTCTACATTAATCATTGATATATATAAAATCTCAGATTCATCATCAAATATAGATAATACAGTAAGTATTGGATATTATTTTATTTTTGATAATTAAATCAGACAATTAATAATTTATTTACAGTACAGAATCTCTGGCATCAAAACTACAACTACAAGTCTTTAAATAAATTTGAAAAGATTATTGTCAATTGTTAACATATAACTATGAAATATACTAATTAATTGTCTGTTTTCTTTATAGAACAAACTACTCAAATAAAAATGTTTCTCATTGATCTCGTATTTTCAAACATATGTTTATGATAAACGAATTGTTCCACTACTTCGTCGAATGTTAAATCTCGAAGAATTGACATTACTTATCTCAATAACAAGAATTAAATTACCTTATATCGATGGTACTCATTTATACAATGATTTTCTTGTTGAAATGCTACGACTAAATAAATTTATATTCAGTATAAACACTCTTGTTGATGATATTCAAAATAATTTTATCAAAATAGGATATCAACATGTGGATACATATTTCAATGTTATGAAAATTGAAGGCAGATGCCATGTATATTCACTTCCATATCAATTCGATACTTTTTTACATCTAACCAACTCGTTTCGGCGTGGTAATTTCTATACAGTTCGATGGCTGATTATGAATGATGTACAATCATTTGAACATGAATTTTTTCAAATAATTTCTCAAGATTTTCCTTTTCTGCAACGATTAACTGTGTATAATTTTGAACCACAAAAGAACAAACAACATTCATCTACATTGATTACGTCTGCTGAAGTTTTCGAGCTGAATCTTCTGTTTGCACATATTGATTATGTTGAAGAATTTCTCTCGGAAACAAACATTCGTTTCCCTCGATTAACAATTCTTGCTATCAAATATGAATTATCAGCAATGGTAACAAATAATTTTACGAATGATGCAGCACGTTTCAATCTTAGTCAATTGTGATATATTCGGATACCTGAACCATTTGTTCGTTCAGAGAATTTTCATTTATATTTTCCTTTATTGTAGATATTAGTTTTCTTGAAAAATTTCTTCTATTTAAATAAATATTTAGAAAACGTTACATATATGGTAATTATGAATATTTATAATTTACTCTGATAATCAATGATTGTTAACTTTTTGTATGATTGATAAAGATGAATGGGACTAGCTTTGGTGTAGTCTACGAAATGAAACAAGGACTAATATTGAAAATTTCTAAAGTTTGAGCAGACGCATACTCGGGAATATTTTTATGAAACGATCCTTATGAAAATCGATATTGTTTGCTTGTGAAAACTAATTGATTCACACCTCACTTTCAAATGTTTCTATCTTTTCGAGAAGATCGATATCATCAATGTTCATTGTGAATGTGCCTATGGATTCGAGATCAAAATTGATAGTTGTTTTATTGTTTATGAGTGAGTTACCTTATGCATGATGCTGATTGACAGATAATTCAGAAAAGAAGATCATGCAATATAATATGCAGTATTTGAATGAATTGAATGAAAGCTTAAGAATTTACAGATTTTTTTGTGTACATATTTAAACATAATTTTCTCTGAATTAATACAAAGGCCAGGACCGAAACTAAGTCAATAAAAAGATGAAGTTACCAAAATTAAGAGGAAGCAATTGAAAAAAACATTCAAAGATAAAATTTGATCTCATACATCTCTAATGAGCATTGAGTATAATAATTGACAAAGTAACAATATAAGAATGAAAAAGATGAAATTGAAATGATTAACTATGGTCTGAATTCTAAACGGATTATAGATTAAGATATATCATTATATGGATATTCGATATGTATATCTAGAAACCAAAGATCATAAGTTATAAGTTTGTTTTTTTTTGACACATGAATATCAATATTATTTTCCATATTCAAGATAGTATTATAATGATTTCATCAGCAATTGTTTATAGAAATCCATTTATTGTGTTTCCCACTGATGAAGAAGCAAATGTAGGTTTTATCGATTTGAGTAAACTCTCGACAAGTGATCGTACAAAACTTTTTGAACTATCGTCATCGTCACCTACATTCAAGATTTATAGCACGCAATACAAACAATTAAAAATCAACTTTTGAGACAAAGTCAGCAGGATCATTTAAGAAAACACTACTTAATATGAAACTATAGAAGATTTTATTTTGTTGTTCTTTTATCTACATCTCATTGATCTTTGATTAAATTACTACAAAAGTATATTAAGTTTTTTTTTCTTTTTTTGATATACGATTAAGTGCAATTAGTAGGTCAGATAAAATTAGATGTACACACCTGTAATAAATAGACTTCATGTGCTGTTCTTTAATTGAAGAAACAAGACATTCTCATCTCGATCGAATATTAATCGTCCCACCGAACGTTGACGGTAATTTTCATTAAAAACTGAACGTGTCCAAGCTAATGTTTCATTGCATACTTGCATAGCCTAATATGCTTTACAGGAGTGTACAAGTCAATCAGAATAATTAAAAAGTAAATCAAGTACATGTGCAGCATTATACCAATCGACAAGTATTTGATCATGTATTGGTAATTCTGTATGAGAAGAAAGAATATATGAAATAATTGAATTTAATGATGGAAATTTTCTTGTTCCTTTTGTTGTGATTTCAACAATCGATTCCATTACACGTAAAACTATAAATAAAGCTGTTTTTGTTATTGCTATTCTTAATTGTATTTGTTGTACATCATCTTTTTTTGAGTTCAAGCATTCGATTAAATCTACGGTTTAAATCAAGAAAACTTGTACTTTATCTATCCAAATTAAAATTATCAGTTTTAGCAAATAAAATTTCATTTTGAAAAGATTTAAAATGATCAGCTTATGTTGCAAGAGATGTTGAAATACTTTTTTCTCTATGTTCGATTGTTAGAATATCAAACGCATATTGTCGTAATTATTCATCTTTTTTAAATTTTGTGTTAAGGCGACGGTGATCAGCTGGTATAAGAACATGAGCTCAACGACTACGAGCGAAACAACTAATCTGTTTATTTGTAGAAGAATGATTATTGTGTTACCATTAGAAACACTTGATGATATTGATGTTTCACTCCTTCTTCTAAAATAAGATAGAAAAAAAATGTAAATATACCTAGTTGTATAACATCATTAAATTGTTCATTTGGAATGTATAAATCATCAAATTCATTTCGAATTTCTCGCAGTGATAATGTACCTTTTGGTGAGAGGTAAACAAAAAGGAAAATCATGGAAAAGACAATTTATTATAATCAATACAAATCTGTTGATGTAATATTTTTAATAAATATATTGATAAACCAGTGCCAGTCTTTTGCATAGCTATAGGTGTTTCAAAACCTAATTAGAAATCATTTCTTTGTTTTTTTTTTAATTTTATTTCGAAATTGATATTTTATTCTTACGTTCTTTAACCGGTGGTGTTTCACTGTTTGCTAATGCTCGAAAGTATCTATAATTATATAAAATAATCAAATCAATGAATATTTAATGAATAAAACATATGCAGCATTTCAAGCAAGTACATCAGTTAGTTGTGTACGAATAATAGCTTTAGAAAATTGAAGTAATATATCTGTTAATTTCAGTGGAACTGGAATTTGTTCACTTGTATAATAAGGTTCATCAGCAGGACTACCAAATCTCCTGATATAGCCAGGAGTCTCCTGGTTTTTAGAGCTTCCTTCTGATGAGAAAAGCTTCTGGTACTAGGAGCTGGTTTTTAGCACATTCTCCTGGTTTCTCCTGATTTTGAGACTTTATACCTTTGATTTTAATAATAATTTGAATAAAAGGACAAACAAAAAAAAAGAAAAAGAGAACAATCACCACAGTATTAAATAGATTCAGGTACCAATCAAATAAAACGTTGTTCCCACTTGATTTTTGTAATAATTAGATAATGAATTTCGTAAGCGAATTTCGTAGCACTAACTTATGTACTTTTAGCTAAAAAGAAAGGATCACTGTGTATGTTTTTGAATGTTTTCATCACTAAAATATGAGATCAATTTTTTGTCACGTTCTTATCTATTTTAAAGGAAATTTTTTCTATTTTGTTCGTATAGTTTAATGATTGACTGTAAAATAAATAGTAATATAAAGTACATGTAATAATCTTTCGTTTTTTTTTTCTTACAAACCATTTATAATAACAGTGTTTATGTGGCAAGTTAATAAGATTAGATATATTTTGTTCAAACCAAAGATCTCATTATCAAACTAACAAATCCAAAATATGAACTTGTTGTTGACGTGCTTCGACACAAAATATTTGAATTTTAAGATATTTAAGTCTATTTAAGGTTCTCACAGTTCAAAATTTCAGTACAATTGATTATTGTTTTTCTTAATGATTGGATAGAGCTTGTCGAGTTTTATTAGAAAATATGTGTTTCAAATTAGAAAAAAAATTTACAAAACTAGAAAAGTTGTATCTAGCAATCAGGCAAAAATAATGATCAATCGTACTGAAACTTTGAATAACCGTAAATACTTTAAAATTCGGATATTTCCATCAGGATACGTCAACAACAGCTCATGCTTTAGATTTATTAGTTTGGAGATGAGATCTTTAATCAGACTCGATTCTATATATAATCTTAGTACCTTACAAGGCAAAAAAGTTCCATTGTCAGAGAAAGATTTTGTTATCACCGATAACAAGGAGTAAAGAAGCGTTTTTATGAACAAAAAATTTTAATTTACTATGAGAAAAATCATGGAACAGCTTTTTCATCTCAATAAAAATCTCCTGGTTTTTGAAATTTCAATTTGGCGGCCCTGGTATAGTCAGTCACTTATCAAAATATCAACCAATAAAAATAAAAGTTTTTGTCTGTATTTTTGTTAATAAAACAATAAAGAAAAAAAGATTAAAGGAAAAGAAAAATTCACTTTTACAATTTATTAATATAAACATAATGTTTTCTATTTGAAAATTTGCTATTATCTACTGCCCTCTACATTCTTCTATTTAGTTCAATTGGCCAATTGAACATTGTTCTTTGTATTCATTCCTTGTCTTTTTTTATCAGTATGTTTCCATTGAAAACTTCCACTAAATAATCATGTTTGATAAACTAATATCTCAAAATTATTTACTTCTTATACTTAATATTGATTCAACACAACCATCACCATTAATTAATACAAATTTATTAAATATCCGTAATGTTTATTCGTCATTTATAACAATAAATCGTGAAGCACATGTATGGTATCAAGAAGTATATCATACTCTTGAAAAAATTCAATTTGGTGGTTCACTTGGTACAAATGGTCTTTTAATAAAAGGTTCAAAAAAATGTTTAAATATAATAAAACGTATTTATTGTCAACGTTTATTACAAGCACCATATGGTTTTATTATTTCGGATCTTGGTAAATAAATTTCTTTTCTTTTCTTTTTTTTTATCTATATCGTAAAATAAAAATACAAATAAAAAAAAGAATTAGATAAATAAAAACTGAAAAAAAACAATGAATTGATAATTGATAAAATTGTTTATATATTTCTTGAGTAAATAATTTAATATTATTTTGTTTATATAAATGAATAAAATTTAAATCTTGTAAAAGTATACCTGAATTAAAAAAATAACAAAGACCAAGAATAAAATAGAAAACTATTGCCCATATACTGATTATACAAATAATAATTAAAATTGATGAAAAAATTTTATATTGTTTCGATAGTGTTTTCGATTTCGGAAGAATATGATTTGTTTGAAGAATATTTAATATTGATTTTAATGTATAACTATTACGTTTTTCTAGAGCTATTGACATCTAAAAAAAAGTTAATAAAACAAAATTAATCTTACAAAGATTTCATAAAATATAATTCGATTTTTTTTAACCTTGCGAAAGAAAATATAGTAGACAGCCGTTATCATCATGTACTACAGACTACAAAGTTATGAATTTGAATTTTTTCAAAATTTTCAATCTAATAAGATTCATTCTCATTAGAATCGATTGTTATTGAGATTTTCGAAAGAAAAGTTCTTCTAGATACAATTAACCGAACTATTTCCCTTGATCCTATAGACATAAGATTAAATGAACTAAAAGTATATAACCAAAATTTATTATTTGGGTCATATTGAATTCGAACAAAATAAGATTCAATTTTGTTTTTTGTTATTGATTGATTTGAGTTTTCTCATATAAATAAAGTCTGAATTAATTTTAAAATATATATAAATCATCTTACATTTGTTTGATCTTGTAAAATAATTTCAAAAAAAAAAACAGAAATCGACTGAACAATCAGATGAAAATTCTATTGAAAAGATAATTAAATTTAAATTAATGCGCTTAATCTTGTTGTTTTCTTTTTTTTTATCTTTCTAGTTGAATTGAGTAATATTCATGTGAAACGACAAGAACGTGATCCTCTTATATCATTACCTAATGTATTATGTTTGATAATCAATGATATTAATCGACGTAGTGGTGGTTATGGTGCATCTATGGATGAAATAAAAACAACATTAAAATTACAATATCCTGAATTTCCATTACCTACTGATGATATTCTTTATAGTACAATTGGTACATTAATTCAAGATAAAATTTTACTACTTAAAAGTAAGATTTTATTTTATTTTTTTCTCTTCAATAAATTCATCATAAATGTAGATCTCATGTCAAGAAGATATATTTTCATATTACCTACACTAATAGATAATCTTTACAATGAATTACTGTAGATTAAAGATAAAATCATCGAAAGTGACTTTATTTTTCTAAATGAATGCCATATATTCCCGTCGGAAACATCATGAAAAACTAATTTTCGAATTTTGACTGAAAACTTTTCAGAGAAATAGGCCTTAACGAGTGTTGTTTATTGCCAAAGTTTCATGTCTTTTTATTTGCTTTCAACTGGAAATAAGAACATCGGAATCTATCGATCTTTATGAATAATATAAAGGACACTTTTATCATAGCCTTATCTTAGAATAGGAATAATGAAAAGATTTGAAACATTCACAAGAAACTATTCTTATAAAGATCTCACTTTGTACACTATAAAAATGCAGTATTTTTGCTGCAATTAGCCAAAGATCTGAATTCCTTTCAAGATATTCATAGCTCATTAGGGTTTACATGATGTACACAGTTCTAACTCAAAAGCGATTAGTCAGTTAATGAACGTCCCTCGTAAGATATATGAGTGTGTTTAGTTTTTTTGTTTGGAATATGGAACCATATCATCTCCATCTCTGTTTGGAGAATCTAATTAAGAAATATTTTCTCATATATATTAATATAATCATTCACGATGGAACATTTTCACCAGATTAATCGCTTTTTCATCAGAAACTAGTGAACTGTAGGTTATCGACCGTGCTGATTTTCCAGACTAATAAATTTTTCTATGTCAAATCGTGGTATTATTACAGAAAATACAGCCATTTAAATTCATACAATAGATATATATTAACATTCTACTGTGAAAATAGAAAAGATAATTGACTTACGAACAAACCGATATGTTCTATAATCTAAGTAGATCAATTTAGTCTCGGAAACCGGTTATCTAGGAAATCAGTAAAGTCGATAGACATTTGTTTTTTTTGTTATTTAGATGGTGGCTATACAACATTACCTTGTGAACAAGCAAAACAAATTAAAACACAATTTATAACAAAAGATCATAAACTTTATTCAAGTAAATACTCTTTTAAAATTTAACTAAATCTTTGAATTTTTCTTTCGAATTTAGATGAACCTAAATCAATATTTTCACGTTTAATACACGGTTTTCGCCGTCGTGATCAAAATTTACCACCACCATTTACTTTCAATGCTCAATTATTATCTTCACCTAATTCGAATCCTTATTATCAAGCACCACGTATTGTTACTGATTATGGTATGATTGAATCTAATGCACAATTTCGTGCATCATCACGTTCACATCCTCATACACTACGTCGTGCATCATTACGTACACATTCAACCGATACTCGACAACAACAACAAATTCTTCCAACACCATCATCATCATCATCAACAACACAAATGCGTCGTCCTCGACCACGTTCATTTAGTTTTGATGAACAATTATCAATAATTGATGATGATGATGAATCAATTGTACATGATATGCCATTTAGTGTTGCACCAGTTCGTCCATTTCAACAACAACAACAAATTCAATCACAACATCGTCGTTTGAATACATCAAAAGTTAGTTCACGTTGTCGTACTCGTCGTC